CAGGTTCTTATATATTTTTAATCTTATACTAGATGCGCAATGGAGAATAACAAAAGAAAGGTAGTAGTTTTCAGTTATAAAATGTGTTAGGCAATTATAATTTTTTGGGGGGCTTCGTTAATTTTGATTTCATTTTATTTACAGTAAAATCTTCAGAGTGTATAATATTAATTTTAATATAATTGGCAAGTATAGAGATCTAGGCTATTTGAGAAAGGTTTTACTATTTTCTGCATGTGTGATCTGGTGTGCTACTGCATGATACACAATTATCTTATTTATTATACTGTAGTAACATGAGATCATGAGATCTAAAATCTATAGTTTATTGTATTAAATTAATGCTTACTGTGAAAAAATTCACCAAACCATATAAAGTTCGTTGTAATCTCTAAAATTTTTAAATATTTTTATTTTTTTACAACTACATTTTTACACATTAAAATGTTCTTTACATTATGTTTTAAAATATTATTATGTAGCTCATTAAAATGTTTTATCTATTTTTAAAAAAAAAGTTTGTTTTGTTAGTTTTTTTTTTATTAAGTCAAATATATTTGACTATTTAATAATTATATATAGTTCTATAGTTATAATATATATAAAAATTTTATTTTCTAAGCAAAATACTCTAGATTGTAGATCTTCAAATACTATATAAACTATATATTTATTATATTTGTTTTTAGTATACTAGTTTATAAATTACTTATATCAGCTCTAAAGCTAGCTTTAAGCCAGTTGATAAGCTCAGCTTGGTTTTTTTAAGCCAAGCCAAGCCAAGTAAGCCATTCCTATCCCTAATCAGTGGATATGTTTGGCTATTCTATAGTTAGAAGGCTAAATAATAAGCAATGAGAACAAGTTCAATGAATGGTCGCTGCTGGTTTATACCACAACAGATTTTGTCAACTATTCACCAAAATAATACTTCTTCACTAGCTATATCCAGAACAATCTACAATACTTTATATTCTATTCACCAGGAAAAATTTGATGGCCATATGCTGATTCAAGCCCTTCTAAATGAATTGCAAGAATCCGACTTTGAGTTTGAGTATCAATGTGACTACCAAAACTGCATAACGTATTTATTTTTTGCATATAGAATTTCTATTTCCTTGACTCGTACCTTCTCCACTGTGTTACTTATGGATTGCACGTACAAGACCAATAGATATTAAATACCTCTACTTAATATTGTCAATGTGTCATGTTTCAATACAACTTTTTTTTCTTGTTTTGCTTCCTAAATAATAAAACTGAAGCAGATTATAAGTGTGCTCTATCTTGTACTTCAAAATTTTTTAACAATATATCTCATTTCAATGTTATTATTACTGACCGGAAGTTGGCATTAATAAGAGCTATTAATAAAGTTTTCCTTTACACTCACCATATCCTTTGCATGTGGCACAAATAAAAACATTTTATCCAAGTGCAAACGTTATTTTGCCACAGAAGAGGGCTGGACCGAGTTCATGAAAACATGGAATATGGTAGTAGTATCTGTTATATGAATTTTTAAATTATTATGAGAACAAACCTGAAGTTTTAAAGTATCTTCAAGATATATGGATACCACACAAGGAGCATTTCATTTCTACCTGAACAGACTGTTATCTACATCTTGGTAATAAGGTAGGGATAATAAAAAAAAAAAATCGATATAAATTTTTTAAAAAATTTTTATATTTACACTGTGTTTTAAAATACATGTGCATGAGTCGATAAAAATCAATCAAATTTTTATAACCAAATTTTAAAAAAATTTACTAAAAAATTTGTTTGGTTTTTATTGACTCACTCCATGTTATTTTCATAATAAGGTGACTTCATGAGTGGAAGCTGCACATGTTATCCTGAAAAAATGTTTACAATCATCTATAGGTGATCTTGAATCGATGTACCACAAATTGTATTACAAGACGAAATTCAAGCAAGAGAAATCTGTACAATGATTTCTTTTCAGCTTATGAAAGTACCGCAAGTGTATCATATTTCTCTCTTTGAACCCCTCCTATGTCATGTTTCTATTTTTGCCTTGAACAAAATATATAACGAATAGATAAAAGTATCAAATGCAACCTCTGATTCTCCTCTAAACCTCTGCACAGGTGTTTTCAGATCTACAATGAGGCTTCTATGTTCACATGTGATTTTTGAATATTTAACAGCTAGACAAACATTAGGCAAGTTGATATACATGAACATTGGTAGATACAGGGTGTCACATAGAATTTGTGGAACCAACATACCTTCCCGACCATGATCACAATGATCTTTAACCTCTTTTGCAATCTTTTGAACAAATGTACCAATTCTGGCTACCACATCAGCATGCTGTCATTTTTTTACAACTAGAAGAACTAGTGAACACTCCTCCCACCATGGTGAAAAATCCAATTATTTATAAACCAAGAGGAAGACCAACTGGTGCAAAAAACAAAAATAAAACATCAGTACGAAGAGATCTATCTGCATCTAAATTGGCTAAAAAACAATCAAGACAATATGGTAAATGCCATCAAACTGGCCACAATTTCAGAATATATCCAAATGTGTAAATCTGTTCATGAATTTATTTGCCTTATAATTTAGCTAGATTTGTTAATTTGCTTACAGAAATAATACTTTGCACAGATAGCATTAAATTTTATTAGTTATAGGTTCAATTACTTGATAATAGTAGAATAAGAATAGATTTATACTTAGCTAAATAGTTCAATTTTTTTAAAAAAAAACTTCATATTTCTCTATATAAACCTGAATTGTATTCCAAATACAGTAAATAAAATAGATTGTATCGATAATGATAATACTCTGATATATCATAATCTGTACATAATCACTAAACCAAAAGAAGTAAATAATATGATACGTATTGATATACTATTGTTATTATGATACTTATGCAGCAAATTGCAGTAATATATACAACTTTCTAAAGGAACACTATTCTATAAAATTTTAAAATTTTGCAATTAATTGCAAAAAAGAAATAAAGCTTATATTACTTGATATGAAACTTCTAACCAAAAAACTGGTATTTAGAGTCTTTTAAAATTGCATCAGAATATCTTGCATTCAAAGTTTGCTGCATATATATATGAGCATTTAGGGGTCTTTATTTGCTTAGAGGTTACATAAATCTGTGATTTGTATTTGTATAACTTTTGATCTTTCAGTCACGCATATGGTTCAAGTCAGAAGTCGATAAGGTTAGAATAGATCACGTAGATCATGTGAGGGGTGGTATTAACAAAAATAGGGGTAGCAATAATAATTCTCTATTTATAATATAGTAAAAATATAATTTTTATTTAGTTTAATATTAAAAAAATCTATTAATAATCTAATAACAATATAGTTAAAATAAAAAATTTTAATATATTCAAAATATATTAATAATATAATAAAAATAACAAAATAATATTTAAATACTTTAGTTTAATTTAAATTTTATTATATATTAATAACCAATTTTAAAATATTTAATATATTATTTTATTACTAAAAGAATTTTAATAGATATAATTAAAACAAACACAATTTTATTATATATTAAAATATAATTAACAAAATAACTTTAAAATATTTAATAGAAATCAACAGATATTTGATAGATATGAAATATTAGAGTAGATTATCAACTAATTAAATCAAACTATATGTAGTTACTAGAACCTATAAGATAACTTTCATATAATTAGTTAATTAAAAATATTCTTAAATATCTTAATTAATTAAATAATTATTATAATATTACTCAATCATCTCAATCAGTAATAATATTTATAGAATTAAATACTTGAATATCTATTTTTTGTAATCTAAATTATATTATTCAAAATATCTTAAATTTTTTTTACTTAACCAGTTGATAAAACTTCAACTTTGGCTGTATTAGGCTTCTTCATTTAATAATTTTACCAATTAAACCTTTATTGCAATAGCAATATAATAAATTTATAGAATTATTAGCAAAAATTATATTATAGCAAGAAATAAAAATTTTTTTGTAAATATTAATATTAATATTTAAATTTTATTGAATAAAAAATAGAATAACAGTATTTATTACAGTTTGATTAAATATTAAAAGACAAGATATATTTATTATATCATATCAAGATATTAATTATTTAGTTTAAAAACTTTAAAAATTAAAAATAAAGTCGCTATTTTTTATATTAGTTAAAATTTTTTGATAATTCATTGTTTACTATATTTGATATATAAAAGAAAATCAAAAAAAATTGCTTGAATAATCTTTATCAATGACAAATTTTTTAAAAAAAAAAATAGTTTGTATTTTGCTAATTTGTTTATTGAAATAGTAACTCACTTGGTTAATTTATTTAATTTCTGACTATTTAAATTTTGCTTTTGATCTATTGAATAAAGTGCTTAAGAACACTCTAAGTCAATTTAATTTTATTGTTTAAAGTAGTTTTCAAAAAAAAATAATACTATAAAAAATAAATAAAAAAGTTATAGAAGGTATTATTAGTATTATAAGACTTCACTATTGAAAATAATCAAACTTTCTTTTTTTTTAGAGAAGTTAATATAGTATATTCTTGTTCAATCTATTTTTAAGAAGTTATTATAATACTAACTTCACTAAAACAAAAAGAAATTTTGATCATTTTTAATAGTAAAGTTCTACAATACTAATAATATTTCTTATATACTTTTTTCATTTATTCTTTGTAGTATTATTTTTTTTGAAACTACTTTAAACTATAAAATTAAATTGACTTAACTAATCATATAAAAATTATTCTATAACTATGAAACAGTGTTATATATTGTTATAAAAATAGAATTAAAGTTAAAATAATGAATATAAAATATTAATTTATTACCAAAATTTTGAATAGATAGAGAATATTAGTGAAATATATAATATTAGACACTATTATAATATAGAAATTAGATTTAAAAGATAAATATAAGGTTTTATTTATTATCAAAATTAGCAAAGAGTGGAGTACTAGTAGAGTATATAATGTTATGACAAAGGAATTAGTATTAAAAAGATAAGTAAAGTATTTATTTATTATTAAAAATTTGCAGAGATAAAAAATATTATTGGGACATATAATATTGAAAAATATTATTTTAATAAAACTGAAGTTGAAAAGTATGAACATAAGGCATTTATTTATTATCAAAATCTATAATGACAGATAATACAATATTAATATAAAAATAGAATTGGAGTTAAAAAAGATGAATATAAGACTTAGATTTATTATCAAAATTTTGCTAAGACAGAAAATATTATTAGAGCAATATAATGTTAGAGAATGTTACTTTCATAGAACTGAAGTTGAAAAAATAAATATAAGATATTTATTTATTTATAAAAATCTGTAGAAATAGGTCTTATAGAAGAACTGTTATTGTTATCTCTAAATACTAAGATTAATTTAAAATTTTATCTCAAGCATTATTAAAATCTACTTAAATAGATTCTAAATTTATTTCAATATATATTAATATTACTTTTCTGAAAAAAGCAAAAATTATAAAAATTAATAAAAAATGAATTAGAGATACAAGAACTTAAGGTCTCTACAATATTTAATTATTTTTTGATCATATAATTTAAAAATATAAAATTTTATTAAAAGGTAAGTAAATTGAAAACAAAGTACAATCAGCTAGAAAACAAAGTTAAAGAAAATGAAAACAGATTTTATAAAGCTAATGAATAGTAATCAAGACTCTAAATTTATTGCTAACTATATCAATATATATTTTTTTAATAAATTTGAATCTATACAAATATACTTACACTTTATAAATCTACAATATAAAAAAAATGAAAGTAAATTTTAATATAAATTACTTTATCAGAGAAATGCCTAAATAAACAGGAACTTAAAGTCATCAATAAATATAAGTATGAAAATATACAATTATAATCATAATCATAATACTTACAAAAATATAAGTATGAAAATATACAATTATAATTATGATTATAATACTTATAAAAATAATTGTAATTATAATTATAATTATAATTATTGTAACAATAATAATGATAAGTAGCCTTATAAATAGTGACTGTTAATAAATTCAATACTTTCTAATTTGATTCAAAATATGTTGAAGTAAATAAAAGCAGAAAATCTAATCAAATGCAAGTTATCTATTTAAATAAATATCAGTCTGGTAATAATTTAAAATTTGATCTATTGACTAATTTAAAAATATTAATTTTTAATCTATAGAAGTGTATGATAGATTAAACTGTTAGATTTCAGTATTGAATCTAGCTGCTATATCAAATTTGTCATGGATTAGATCTAAATTATATAAATTTGGCTAGAATTAACTTTTAAACTTTTTCATTTTAAAATAAAAATTTTTAGAGAAATAGGCTTGCATAATGATAAAATTAGCCCAAAAAATATGCAGCTATGATTTATTAGTAAAATTTTGAGTAACTTTGGCCTAAATTTTTGATTGTTACTCTTAGCCAATCAAAATCAAGAATTATCCATAATAAAATTAGTGCAGTGCTAGGTTTAGTTCCAAATTTAATATAAATTAAATATGATATAAAATTTAAACTTACTAAAAAAAAAGTATTTATTAATTTTAATCTTGGCTATTATTTAATTTGAACTTTAGAGTTCACAAGTTTAATATATCTCTTTGGCATTAATATTTGTAAACTTCATAGATCTCTTAGATATTAAAACATAAAAATATTAGAATTAGTTATCTTGATTTTAGTAATAGTTTTCTTGAAGCTAAGGTTTATAAATTTAAGGCTTGTGGATTTCTTGTATATTAAAATTTTTTAAACTTAATCTAAACAAACTGTTAACTTGATTTTGGTGCTAGTTTTCTTGAAGCTAAAGTTTATAGATTTAAGACTTATGGGTTTCTTGTATATTAAATTTTTTGAACAAACTGTTAACTTGACTTTGATGCTGGTTTTCTTGAAGTTAAGGCTTGTAGATTTAAGACTTGTAGATTTCTTATATATTAAAATTTTTTGAACTTAATCTGGATGAGCTATTAACTTTACTTCTTTGGTACTAGTTTTCTTAAAGCTAAGATTTGTAAATTTAAGGGTTATGAATTTTTTGTACATTAAAATTTTTTAAACTTAACCTAGACAAATTGTTAACTTTACTTCTTTGCTGTTAGTTTTTTTTAAAGCTAAAGTTTGTAGATTTAAGGCTTGTGAATTTTTTATATTAAAATTTTTGAACTTAAATTAAATAAACTACTAACTTTACTTCTTTGATGCTAGTTTTTTTGAAGCTAAAGTTCATAGATTTAAGGCTTGTAGATTTCTTGTACATTAAAATTTTTAAACTTAACCTAGACGAACTGTTAACATTACTTATTTAATACTAGTTTTATTGAAGCTAAGATTTGTAGATTTAAGGCTTGTGAATTTCTTGTATATTAAAATTTTTTGAACTTAATCTGAATAAACTATTAATTTTACTTTTTTGATACTAGTTTTCTTGAAGCTAAGAGTTGTAGATTTAAGGCTTGTAAATTTCTTGTATATTAAAATTTTTTGAACTTA